ACATGGAGGGGGATTCAAAATTCCCTAATTTTTTGTTCTTTAATTTATGAGTTTCAATTTCAAGAAGAAAGACGTTCAGTTATCGTGCGATGTCTGCGAAAATGAAAAAGTGAGTGAACATTTGTCAAAAGAAAAGAATAATAACAAAAGGTAACTGAAAACATCGCAGTCTCGAGTGATAAACAAAAGGTGTGTATTTACAAAAATAAATAAATAAATAAAAATAAATATGTACATAAAATAATATAAATATATATAAATAATTAAATAATTTAAAAAATAAACATAATCATACATTGGGGGAGGGGGGGGGGGGGAGAGAGAGCTCCGTAAGACATCTTTCTTTTCAAGTGAATATGATATAATATTTGATAGAATGTTGTTGCCAATGTTTATAAAATTGTGACGATACCCCCCCCCCCCGCCCTCCACCCCCAAGTTCGAATGCAGTATATGCTCCCAAATCAACAATTAGAGGACTTTAATTGTCTAACTCCCTTTCTTTTTCTTAATTATCAAGTTTTACATATTATAAACATTAACTTTCTAGAGAACGATTGATGTGGAACTTTTTAATAAGGGTATAAATTCATGGTTATCACCGTTGTAATGCGAGATAACTCGTACGCACTTATGGAGAGATAACTCCTGCTAGCCACCCTGCAAGCGGTACCAGATAGCCTCGACCATAAAAGAGGCATCACAATCCACTGAACCGCTGATGTTTAGATTGGATCCCATGCCTGCATTAGTCAGCAAAGAATCCTTAAAATATAGTACATACCAGTTGAACTTCAGTATCTCGAACACCGACATCTTCAATATGTCAAAGTCATTTGGAAATTTCGGGATAAGAAGATTTGACTGTATTCAAAAAGCCAATAGTCGCAGAGATAAAGCTTCCAAGTTAGCACTGGAGAGAATGGACTAACTGTTCTGAGAGAAAAAAAATGGCAGAAAGTATAAGTTCATATATTTAGGTTTGTCCTTGGGGGAAAGCAGGAACAAATCTGTAAATGAAAATATTTTTCATAGATATTGAAATCCATATGTACAGTCAAACCTCATTTTCCTGAAATCGATGGGACCAAGAAATAAACTTTGATTTGAGATATGGAGGTTAAAATACATAAAAAAAAAAAGAGAAGTTGGGACTTCCAACATATCCATCTTTTAAACAGTTTCACTAATTTTGTCCATACCTCTAAACATTTAACAGCCCCTGTCACACACTCTACAGTTTTATTATTTTGTCTATACCTCTAAACATTTAACAGCCTCTATCACACCCTCTACAGTTTTATTATTTTGTCCATACCTCTAAACATTTAACAGCCTCTGTCACACACTCTACAGTTTTATTATTTTGTCTATACCTCTAAGCATTTAACAGCCTCTATCACACACTCTACAGTTTTATTATTTTGTTCATACCTCTAAACATTTAACAGCCCCTGTCACACACTCTACAGTTTCATTATTTTGTCCATACCTCTAAACATTTAACAGCCTCTATCAAACACTCTACAGTTTTTTATATTTTGTCCATACCTCTAAACATTTAACAGCTTCTGTCACACACTCTACAACTCCATTATTCTGTCCATACCTCTAAACATTTAACAGCCTCTGTCACACACTCTACAACTCTATTATTTTGTCCATACCAGCTTCTGTCACACACTCTACAACTCCATTATTCTGTCCATACCTCTAAACATTTAACAGCCTCTGTCACACACTCTACAACTCTATTATTTTGTCCATACCTCTAAAAATTTAACAGTTTCTGTCACACACTCTACAACTCTATTATTTTGTCCATACCTCTAAACATTTAACAGCCTCTATCACACACTCTACAGTTTTATTATCTTGTTCATACCTCTAAACATTTAACAACCTTTGTCACACACTCTATAGTTTTATTATTTTGTCCATACCTCTAAACATTTAACAGCCTCTGTCACACACTCTACAGTTTTATTATTTTGTCCATACCTCTAAACATTTAACAGCCTCTGTCACACACTCTATAGTTTTACTTATTTTGTCCATACCTCTAAACATTTAACACCCTCTGTCACACACTCTACAGCATCCCTCCCTTTCTCCAGCAGATGATACACCTGATAAAATAAAAACCAAGTATTAATGTGAAACAATGGACCCATGGGCCACATAAGACCACAATGCAATGCATATCTGAAGTACCATGCTCACAACATATACTGTAAAATCAAATTTTTTCATAGTGTCAATTTTCAGTGATCTGAGGAATAAATATTGGTTTGAGCTGATTATACCTCCTGGTTGTAGAAGTGCTATTTGTAATGTATATGAAATTTTAGAGTTCATCGTTGACATGAATTCACTGGTTTCTTCATAATAATTACTCTCCTACGAATATAAATGATTTAACAGTAAAATTTCCAAGCCACCTTGATCCCAATGTCACATCAGAATCACACCCCTATTTTAATGTATTCCTATTTAAACTTTGATAACCCATTGTGGCCCCACTCTACCCCAGGGGTCATGATTTGAACAGATCTGAATCTTAACACTACACACCTCCTAACCTTATTTGCATAAATCGGAACTTTTCGGAGATAACGTCATAAAATATGAAGAAAATCCGTAAACGTCCGAACAGCTTTCATTGCGAGAACTCTCGAGAATTAGATGAGACCAACACGCGAGAGGTGAAAATCGAGAGAAATATTCAACTTGAAAAAAGAGGTAAAACTTTATGTTTTCTCGATTTACAAGGTTTTTAAATTGCATAAAGTTGAAAAACAAACGTTTCTTTACATGAAAAGTGAAAGTATGTATGAAGTTTCTCATTCTGTCACGTGCTATTGTACATGAAAGTGTCAAAATTGCACCTCTCGATTTTGTAAACATTTTTCCACGTGCAAGGGAGTAGTTGTGTCGGTAAAGATGAACACACATACACTGGTTTAGGAAACAAAAGCACTCGTAAGTAGAAGTCGATTTATTTTTTTTCGATTACCTGTAGCACAAAATGGCTAAATATTTAAGGGCAAGTTTGTAAAATGCTGTAAAAGCACGTTTTGAATTGAAGAGAAAATGTATAGGTGTGCTATAGTCCGTTCCTAAACAAGCTATGTGTATTCAGAGATTGCCCAGTGATCTGTGAGAACCTTGTGTCTTTTTTTTAAACATCAAGAGACTAAAATTTAATTCTATCCATATTATAGTACATGCACACAAGCTCTGCCGAATTTCCTCTACATATATATAGGTGTTTACATTTTGCACTTTTAATATTGTCAGTTATTTATACCAATTATGCTGTTTTCAATAGCACCTAATGATAAGAAAATGTTTGCTACTTCTTTTATTTATCACAGAATTTATGATCAGATGATGCCATGCAGTTCTCACATATATCAGACTTAACAGACACGCATATTAATTTAATACACCCAAACTTTACAAATGCAGTTTATGATATCCTGGAACATTTCTTGCATGTTTACCACTTTCAACTTATGAATACAATGTACTTTAAGTTAGTTGATTTTTTTTCTTATAAAAATATTGTCCATCCAAAACTAACTAATGAAATAGTATAAATATTATACAGTAACATTGCAGGCATCAATTTGTGATATTGAAATAATTTATTTAAGACCTCTGTCAATGTAAACATAATTTACAGTGATGTTTTGCATTTTTGTTTGAGATAATATATAATTTACATATTGTAAATTTATTGTTATATGTTAATATTAAAAGTAACTTTTTTTTTGCTTCGTCTATTTCAGGTTTTAGTACATGTTGAACAGCTTTCTCCATAAAGCAGTATGAAAAAAAAACCCACACAATTAATAATATAAAGTCATGAAGAAATAAAAAAATTATTAAATTTAGAAAATCTATTTATTATGTAGCATAAAAATGTGACATCATTTCAGGGCTAAAAATAATTATTTTCTTTCACTGGTCACCAGGGCTATCACCTTAAATTTTTTCCTGGTCAGCTCAGTACTTCGACTGTCCCACTGAGCCAGTAGATTTTAAAAAGACTGGCCCAAAACCATAAAAAAAATAATAGTGATATATTTTTTGTTTATATTGTGATACTTAGTAAAACAAGAAAAGACAGAACTTTGCCTGGCAAGTTCAGTTACTAGCCCAACCATAAATGAATTTTGTTACATGTATACATAATAAACAATGACCCAATGGACATGTGCCCTCACAATGTAATAGCCTAAATTAAAAATTTATTGGCCCCAGTCCAGTGGGCCATTAATTATTTCGAGCCCTTCCTTGTAAATTTGTAACTTACTATAATTCAATAAGTTGGCTTTTGCAACAATCTGTGCTTTTTTGTATGTTTTTTTTTTTGTTTTTTGTTTTAATGATATGTCCATCCGCACCAGTGATGATCCCACACAAATTATACACACAAAAAAAAAATTTTATTTCATTAAAAAAAATTAAATGGGCTTTAAAGATTTATCTTTTTTGACTTTTTAAGAATGACATGTTGATTGAATTTGAAAACGAACTTCCATGTGCATGGTGCTGTAATGCACATAAATCATAAATGAGAATTTCATTTTAAAAAATACCAAATATAAAAATAAATAAATCTAATCAAATTATTATTTGGAATGTATGTTTCTTGCAGGATATTCTGAAGACAGTGATGACGTGAAAGTTCAAGATTTGCCTATTGTGAGCATTGTAAGGATAATTTTATAACATTTTATATGTAACATTATTACATGTATTTAGTTATTATAATGCCTGATTGGAAGAAACAAAGAAAGGATATTTTAATTTTGCTCAGTTGCACCAATATCTGTTATACATGTGTATCTATGAAAAAAATCCTGTGGATAATTTGTCAGACAGAGAGATAGAGAGAGGAAGGGCTTTTGATAATTGAAAATCATGCATTCGTTACTTTTTTTGCTTTGTTCAAATGATTTATTCACATTCTGTTTTTTTTTCTTTTTCAGCAGATACCTCGGTAATACAGAATGGGTAAAAAAATGCACAAAGGTTAATCACATCATGCTGCATTGCAGTGAGTTTATATGCAGAGAAATTTACCATTAAATGAGATTTTAACAAAATAGAAATAAACAGTAAAACACACTTGGCTGTATGTTTATGCAAACAATTTTTTTGAACTGCAAATTATACCAATACATGATTCAGCATATTCTGCACACTTAAAAATGATTTACATATTTGTATGATTTGCAACTAGTGCAGTGCAATTTGTCAGTATTGTTCATTCATGCAGTTCTCTTTGTGATCTAACTGCAAATACATGCATATACATTTTTATTTGCACTAATTAAGTTAAGAGGATTGTATTAATTTATTATTCATATTTGTATTTCAGCAGTAACAGAACAATTTATCTGATGCAAGCATCAACCATGAGAATAAGAAAGGAGGTTAGGTCCAAGGAGAAGGTATGTTTGTAACTGGTGATGATATGTTATTGATTTAAACAGATTGTAGCAATTAAATAGAAAGAACAATTGTAATTTTGCCAGTCAGAAAAAAACAAAATGAAACATTTTTGTAGCTCAACTGAGTCAAAGGCTCAAGGCATAGGGACTTGAGACAATCTTAGCAAAATCGAGTATATAGTATAAAACGGCTCCCCTAGTATACTATAGCTATATACCTGATTTTGCTAAGATTGTCTCAAGTCCCTGTAGCTCAAGGTAGCTTTTCTGATCAAAATTTGTCCATTGTATGTTGTTGTTGTCATTGTAAACTTTTCACATTTTCATCTTCTTCTCAAGAACCACTGGGCCATTTCAAACAAACTTGGCACAGATTATCCTTGGGTAAAGGGGATTCAAGTTTGTTCAAATGAAGGGCCACACCCTCTTTCAAGGGGAGATAAGTAAGAAATAGTGAAAATTGGCTGTATTTAAAAATCTTCTCAAGAACCGGAGGGCTAGAAAAAAAAATTAAATTTAAGTGAAAGCTTCTTGACAAAATGTAGATTCAGGTTTGTTCAAATCCCCAGGGGTAGGGTGGGGCCATAATAGCCAATCAAAGTTTTACATAGAAATATATAGGAAAATTCTTAAAAATCATCTTCTCATGAACAGTAAAGCCATGATTGGTGATATTTATATGGAAGCATTCTTAGGTAGTGTAGATTCAAGTTTGTTCAAATCATGACCCCTGGGAATAAGGTGGGGTCATGATGGCCAATCAAATTTTACATAGAAAATCTTTAAAAATCTTCTCAAGAACAGCAAAGCCATGACTGGCGATTTTCATATGGAAACATCCTCAGATAGTGTAGATTCAATTTTGTTCAAATCATGACCCCTGAGGGTAGGGAGAGGCCACAATGTGGGATCAAGTTTTACAAAGTAGTATATTGGAAAAAAAATCTTTGAAAAATCTTTAAAAATCTTCTTCTCAAGAACAGCAAAGTTATATGCTATATGGATATTGACTATTGAGGCATCCTCAAGTAGTATAAAATTCCCCTCCCCCCACCCCCCTCCAAGTAAACTTTTCAATACTGAACTGATTTGTGCTTTTTCCTAGCCGATGTGCTCAGGTGAACCCATGGGCCTCTTGTTAAAGTCTTAATTCTTGTCAAGAACAGACAGGTCACGATAAGTCATTATACTCATATTATCTTGCTAGCATCCTCTGAGATAGTGCAGAGCAGATTCAGATTTGTTTGAACCATATTCCCTGTGGGTAGTGTAGGGCTACAGTGGGGGATCAAAGTTTTATTCTGAAATATTTAGGGTAAAAGCCTTTTAAAAGTCAGGCCCACCGTAAATCATATTATTATGCATGAATAAATTCATCTTAGTAAGGATTCCCATAATCTAGGGTTAAGGATGGGCCATAATTAGGGGTAAAATATTTCTCTGGAAATAGTTAAGGAGGGGGGATCTTATGTAAATATTGGAAAATCCTTTTTGTTCATTTCATGGATCTTAGGCTAAGAGGGGGCTAAAATAAGTTTTCATAATTTTATTTCCAATTTTAAGGAGACTTAAGTTTGTTTTTTTATCTTTCTGTCTTTCAATTAATCTTTAAATATCAAACTAGCAACTTAAAATAGCTGGTTATAAATAATCAACAGAGCTCACAAACTGTATGTGGTAAAAATATCTACAAATATCAGAGAAAGGAAAACAATATTTTGGGGCATAGAAAAGGGGCTTAACTCTTATCATTACAACACATGTGAAAAATGTGTGTTGTTGAGAAACATTTGAATATAGTGCCGTCTAATTATGTACAGCTAAACTTCAGTATCTTAAAATCAAACAATGTCGACTACCTGGGGTATGTTGACATTCATCAGTATTACCTGGATAAATGATTTGTTAACACTTGGAAATGCATATGATTTATTTCTATTTAATTGGTTCATTTTGTACAAATCTTTTTCTCATGCATATTGTTGATGAACATTATTATACCTCTACTGATTTTTTCCCTATATAACATTAGATCGATAGATGTGACTATTTCCCTAGAAATCGTTAATAATGGACTAATCCCCGTGTGTTAGTCAAGTGAGCTAATCTCTGCTTCGAAAGCTAATTCTCGGCTATCTGTAATCCTCTAGGTTTTACTTTAACATTGGTATGATATGTGAATGGACTAATCCTCATGTGTTAGTTCAGTGAGCTAATCCCTGCTTTGAAATCATGCTATCTGAATCCTCTAAATTTTAAGTTTGTATCGGTATAATAAAACAGTTAAAAGTATATCAATGAGGGAGTTAGCAAAATTCCAGTTCCCCTCGATCAGGACTATTTCCCTCGGCTTCACCTCAGGAAGTAGTCCTGGCCTTGCGAAACTGGAATCTTGCTAACTCCCTCAATGATATATTTTAACTGTATAATAATAAATTGATTTTGCATCCATATATGGCATATACTACTACATGTATTCCAATAACAGCATGTCACTTTGTTTGATAAAGCATGCAGTTTCACATGTTGATCACCATATTTTTCATTGATTGGACATTTAATTTCAATGATAAGAAATACTATTTTGCACATGAACAGAGAAGCCGACAATGGTTTTGACTGACCATGTGTTGTTGCTTATTACAAATGCTGTCATTGTAAACAATCATTCGGTGCGACTGCTCAGTATTATTAGTGTATTGCTGGATTCTCTATGTCATATGCAAAGTAGTATTCATTTCATTGAAATTTAACATCCAGTCAATGAGAAATATGGTGTTCAACATGTGAAACTTAAGCATGCTTGATCTAACAAAGGGGCACGCTGTTATTGATATGATAGTATGATATTTTTTATATACTCAGTTTAGGGTTCAACTTTGGTATCTCGAACACTGAGTGATATCTTGATCACTATGGAGATGTCAAAGTCATTTTGAAGTCCTTTGAACCACAATTTTCTTCTTTGTATCTTACCCTCAAGCTCTCAACCCCTTGAATATCTCAAAGTTTTTCATTGGTCCCATTGAGTTCAAGATTATAATTTTTGACTGTATTATATTGATTCAAATTAATGGATGATGCATTATAAATAAAACAATCTTATATATTATTGCATTTATATTTTCCAGGCAATGTAACAAATAATTGCTGAATTCATGAGGATTGGGATGAATCTTTTCTATTCTTAATAACTGTCCAAACATCATTAGAGGATCCCCTCCTAAGAAAAGAAGAATTTGTCTATTCAGAGAGTCCATAGTTTACAAAATATTATGTAACATAAAACTAGTGTCTTCATATTTTATTTAATTATAAAACAGTAATAGAATATGTTTGAAAAAAAGGAGGGGGCTATAACTAGCTCTCACTGGTACTGCATGTCTAATATACGTGTATTAGGTATTTTAATTACACATGTATTTTTAAACAGATTATCAGTAAAAGAAACACAATGTTAGTCTTTCAGTGGCTTTTATTCAGATTTATTATTTTAAAAAATGGAACTTGAATCTGCTTAAATAGGAAGGAAAAAACTAGAATTCAGTAGGTACATGTACATGTATTTAGTTTTGTTTATTATAAGTTGTTTAAAATTTAGGGAGCTTGTGAAGGATATCTTAATATTATTTAAAAATTTATTCTTCATAGTTAAACAATTTAATTATTATTATAACATATGCTCTGTAATTTACAACTTCATTTGTTGTACAACATTCCATTGTCTGTCTACCTCTAGGAGTTCATTTCTTGAAAATAAAAATGAATACATGATGTTTGTTCACATTGCCATTTTTTTATATACGAGTCCTGAGTTATAAATTTTGTACATACCTGTATGTACATTTTTTGTGAAATAATTTAACTTTAACCAAATATTAACTGAATGTAATTTTGTAGGTAGATACCTTCCAGAAATATTTACATCTACCAGGTACATGTGAAATCAAATACTGTAAACTTGAAAATCAGGATATTTATTAAATGGAAATCAAGTTACACATTCATGTATAGTGAAATTAGATAGACTGTGTTGTTGTTATGTTTATACTAACTCAACATAAACATTGATCGGATGTGATCCTGATTAATTAAATAAAGGATATGAAACCATAATAATTTCTTCTTTTTTTTTGCAATTAATTACACTTTACAAATTTCAGACTTGATGTATCTAAATTGATAAAAGAAATTGACTATACCATTAAAAAAATCTTGAGTTGTCTCTCTTTGTGGAAATAATTATCTGTTGCAATGAATGCTCCCTTGGGTTCATGACCCTGAATATTGATAAGGTTGGGAGGTGTGACTATGTCAGGATGCTTTCACATAAGTTTCATCTTTTCTGGCCCAGTGAGATTTTTAAATGATTAATTTTTAAATTGAATTTTTACTGTTTCTTCCTTATCTCCCCTTAGAAGAGGGTGTGGTCCTTCCTTTGAACAAACTTGAACCCCCTTTACCCATGGATACTCTGTGCCAGGCTTGAAATTAGCCCAGTGGTTCTGGGGAAGATGATAAAATTTAACAGGTTTATGAAAACAACACCAAAGACAACAACAGACTAAAGACAATTTCTTATCAGAAAATTCACTTGAGCCTTCGGCTCAGGTGAGCTAAAAATCAAATATCAAGAATGTAATCAATCAAGAAATGCACAATTTGATAGTCACTGAGACAGGAGCACTAATTCTTCAGTGAAAATTAATAACATAATTATTATTACAAAGTATTTACCTTTAAGCATGCAGATTTACAGAGTTTTACATAAGCATCTTCTTTTTGTGTTGAGTGGTATCCTGCACCTGGAAGAAATAAATAAAACATGATGTAGAATTTTTATTTCTGGCTATTTTTATCCCCTTACCCAAACTGAAAAAAAAAATAATTGAACACCATAATTACAAATATTGTCTCAGATTTTTCTGTTTGCCTGATCATGATAAGGAGCACATGGCAGGTATGACCGATCGACACAGGATGCATACGCCTCCATGGCACCAGATCCCACCTCAAATGTTTTTAGAGACGTGTCCGTGTTTGCTCTGCTCCCGAGTTGTATTGATTCAGTGGACTTTTGACCTTCAGATTATTGTTCGTTATCTCCATATTTCATTCATATCTACTACTCTAATTTTTTGGTGTGGTAAGAGAAATAAATACAAGATCTTGCCAATTCTTCATCTGCTCATGCAGAATGAGAATTATTTTTATCATTATTTATTACTCTAAATTTACATAATAGAGCTAGCCTGTTACTTTTCTGATGTTTTTAAATTAAAAAATGTCATACTAAACTACTTAATTCAGATCAATGTTAAAACACTTCTGCATTTTGAATAGCAAGGTATTTAATTTCCTTTCTAAACCAGGAAGTATAAACACCTGACAGGTAGATAAGACAGGTAAGTTTGTCAAATGATCAGAGTAGAGAAATAGAACTTGGAGATCAATGGAAGGACAGCCGCCATTACTGAACTGTCAGGTAAAAAATACAGGAAGAGAAACTAATTTGAAAACAGTTAAGTTTAGTTGGTTTTAACCATGTGGAACAACATTCCCTCATTTCTTAGGTCCTCCTGGATGCAAAATGTATGTCTTTATTTATCTCTTATGTAAATATTCCAGATAAGAATGTTGAATTTCATTTTCAGATCGATATTGAGCTTTGAAATTAATCATGGACCCCCATACAAGTGCCCAAGACGTGATGCGATGTGACCTGTGTGAGACCGCTGTGGTACAGATGCACTGTGATACATGTCTTGTCAACCTGTGTACTGCTTGTGTAGGAAAACATATGATTTCTGATGAATCCGAGGATCACAAAGTCGTCAAATTTCAGTCCAGAAAATCTATCCCCCTCTACCCTGGATGTACAACTCATAGCAAAGAACGATGTGAAATGTACTGTAATCAATGTGACATTCCTGCTTGCAACACCTGTATTGCATCTGATCAACATCTTGGTCATAATTTTTTGAAAATTCTACAAGTTTTAAATGAAAGAAGAAACAAAATTATGAAAGATGTGACTGAACTAAATGAAATAATTTACCCAACCTACCAGCACATTGCCTCTGATGTACAAAACAGAATGAGTCATTAGAAAAAGAATGTGGGGGTCTCTCAACAGCCATAACAAAACATGGAGAGGACTGGCACAGAGAAGTTGACAAAATTGTCAGGAAACTTAAAGATGAAGTTGATGAGATGAAAAACACACAGTTACAAACTCTACAGAAACATCTGGATGAAATAAACAAGAAAATTTCTGACATCAAGGATGAAATTGATTCAGTTGAAATGGCAATAGACACTAATGACTTGTCAAAACTGTTTAGTATAACATCCAATGTAGATATATACAGAAATCTTCCACACAAAATTATGCTATCTTTACCCAGATTCATGCCAGGAAAAATCCAAGGAGAAGAATTAAGTAAACTGTTTGGAACATTATCATCAAGTTCTTCAACATCAAATGAATATGGCTACAGTATGAAGACAACCCAGACATCACTAGAAGCTGGATCCTTTTCACCAGTCAAACAGCTGCTTGATGAACCAGAGATAGTCACCACCATAAACACTGGGTATGCATACCTTTTTAATGTGAGCTGTCTGAGTGATGAAAAACTCTGGACAAGTGGAGGTGACAGCACTGTGAAACTCTTCAGTATCAATCAGGGATCACTACTCAGGTCAATCAGAATTGACTCAGGGTACATGCCATGGGACATAGCAGTGACAAAAAGTGGAGATCTAGTTTATACTGATTACAGAGATAGAACTGTGAACATTGTGAAGAATGAGAAGATAGAGGAGGTGATCAGACTACAGAACTGGAGACCTCGTAGTGTCTGTAGTACCTCCTCTGGTGACCTCCTGGTTATCATGTACAGTGATGACAACACACAAACAAAAGTTGTCCGTTTCTCTGGCTCCAGAGAGAAACAAACCATTCAGTTTGACAATAAACGTAAACTTTTCTTTTCTTCTAGTTGGTATAACATATACATTAATGAGAACAAGAACCTGGACATCTGTGTGTCTGACTGGGGAGCTAAAGCTGTAGGGGTGGTCAATCATGCCGGGAAACTGAGATTCAGGTACACTGGACATACTCCTGCTCCAAAGAACAAACCATTCAGTCCACGAGGAATCACCACAGACAGTCAGAGTCGCATCCTTACAGCTGATGATAAAAATCACTGTATCCACATCATAGACCAGGATGGACAATTCCTCCGTTACATAGACTGTGGACTGAGTGATCCCCGGGGACTGTGTACAGATACAAATGACAATCTGTTTGTTGCTCAGTATGGAAACAGACAAGTAAAGAAAGTCAAATATTTGCAGTGAAATACATCACTGTGTCGTATGCTCTATACAATTAAAAAAGATATATCTTTTTTTAACTGATAAACCACTATACTGAACTACGGAGATTTATGTATTTTTTTTTTAAATCTAATAATTCATTATCAACAGGGAATTGAAAACAGTATGTAGATATAAAAGGGAAGTAAAATGCTGCATACATGATATATTTCAGATAATGTCAGAAATAAAAACAAAACTTATATAATATTTTCATTAAAATGAGTACTATACACAGGGTTAATTTCATCACATGTAGTGAATTGCCTTCAGTGATGAGTAAGTAAAATGCTTGCTGGTCCTTGATGCTCACCTGTCAGTGAGTTTTGTGAGGATTCCTAATACTCTCTGAGAGGCATTTTTTTCATATGTAAGGTCTTTTTTTTAAATTCGGAAGTGTAAAATTATCCTTGAAATTTCATAGACCTTGTGGCTTGAGTCATCTTTTTAATTTAAACACTGATAAAACATACAAACAGACTGCATGGTTTTGTGGTAAAGAACTGTTTGTAAAACATTTATTAATGCCTCTTTACCTATCCTTTCAATATGATGATTATCATTTAAAAAACTATCCCATGCATGCATCCCCTTTCTATCCAGCCATCAGTAAATTATCAAATAATTGCATGTCTTATATCTATCTTATTTAGAACAGTCCCGGGGGAAGGAGGTTGCCAGATAAAAGTGATAGTGGGGTGTTTAAATACAAAGTAAAGTGAACATAAATACATGTATAACATGTATATCTGGCAAATATAATACTAATTTAACAGTACATTTTATTTACCAGAAATATTTATCTTCTTTAACATTTTTAGTAAAATTGAAGATAAAGGATTTAGACTATCAATTCGCTCTACTTAAGCCTGCCACAGTTTTGGTCAAACCTTTTCAGTATTCCTTAGAATATCTATCATACAAAGACTCAGGCCCTAACGCTGATTTTCCAGGTATCCTACCCATTTGGAATTAAACAAGACATTCCAGAATTTTGAATCATTATTCAACTGTAATATATCACATTTTTATAAAAGAAAAAGACAAGAGGCCCACTGGCCTTATAGGTCACCTGAGTATTATGTAACAAATTTCCAACAATTGAATTTGGTTCATGTTTTGAAACAGAGGCCACAATTTTGAAAGAGGCACCATATCTCATCATAATTATACACTTAGCATGCTTAGTTTGATTACTTAATACCCAGAGGCAGAGCAGAAAAACAAAGAAAAAATGCATTTCCACCATACAAGATATAAGATTTTATTAGTCCAATTTGGGCCCCCGGAGGAGCAAAAAAGATTTCCAAACATGAAACAAAAAAGGGGGAGGATCCAAATGATAGAACAAACCTGATCTTAAATATAATGAGCAGTGCTTAATTGTATAATCATTGATAAATGCATCTACAAGAGATATACTGAATATACATATTGTATATGTTATAATAATATATAGTCAAGTAACTGGAAAGATACATATATGCATATCAAAGAACAGAAGAGATGATATATTGCCATACATGTACATGTATATACATCCCCAAATATATTTAAATTTTTCAGTTAAGATAGATTATCAAGGAATCTTGCAAGTGATCTTAGGATCTCGGGGTCTTCATTAGTCATGATCCAATGAAATTGATTATCATATGATAGAGACTGAAAATGTTTACATTTATTATTACAAATATTTATGAGTTCAAGTCTTTGTATACTAAAATGAGGACATACAAGAAGAAAATGAATTTCATCCTGAATCTTCTTGTGATCACAAAGGGAACAAATTCGTTTATCTTTAGGTATTTTTTGATATCGTCAAATTTCAATTTTAAGCCTGTGAGCTGATTTTCGTAACCTTGTTAGGACTGATCTATGTTGATTGTTTTTTAAAATATTTAGATAGGGTTCAAAACAAAATTTAGTCTTTGGGCAAGTGAAGGTAGATAATTTACCATCTTTATGCAAATTCCTGTCTTTTTCCCATGTAATTTTATAGAAATTAAGTAATATTCTTTTCAAGTTTATTTTAAACTGTTGGAGGTCGCCCGCGTGGCGCAGTGGTTAGAGCGTTCGCTCTAGAGTCGTGGAGTAAGGAGTTGATCCTTACGTCGAGGATTCGAATCCCACTGTGGGACGTGGAGACCGGTCCTTTGGATGAGACCGTATAAACCGAGGTCCCGTGTCGCAGTAGGTGCTGGCACGAAAAAGATCCCTCACTGCTCAATGGTCTTGAGTGCCAAGTATAGGTCAAAATTTGTAGCTCTCCACCGGCAAGTGGTGGCGTCTCCATATGAGTGAAAAATTCTCGAGAGGGACCTTAAACAATAAACAAACAAACAAATAAACTGTGGGATTGACATACCTAAAACATCACTAAGTTTAATATCAATATGGTTAAGTAAGAAGTTAATACAAGAATACCATATAATCAGTAGTGCCCCACCCCACAGGACCAATGACCCTGGGGCCACACATTTAACGATTTTGGAAAAGGTGCCCTTGCTCATCATAAATGTTTGATTAATACCAAAGAGCAGATTTCAAAGCATTAATCCTTTTCAGTATATAATCATTAGAGCCCCCCCCCCCCAGTACCCCTGACACAGGGACCTTGAAATTCACAATTCTGGAAGAAGCACCCTTGATCATCATTACTAAGTACTTGAATCATTGCCATAATATCCAGGAACAGAAGAAAGGACTTTCAAAGAATTAATGCATTTTCATTATATAATCATTAGAGCCCCACCCTAACACCAGAACCCCTGACCCAGGGGCCATAAAAATCACAATTTTGAACGAGGCACCCTTCCTCATCATAACTATGTACAAAGTTCATTGTTTTAATACCCAGGAGCAGAGGAGAAGATTTTCAAAGAATTAATTCATTTTCACTATATAATATATAGAGCCCACTAAATAATCATTAGAACCCCGCCCCAATCTAATTTAAATTAGATGTTCCGAATCCGCTAACGCTTCTCAAACATCTAACAACATCCCATACGGGGTCATGTCAGAGCGACCTTTCGATTATGAATAAACATGAACATTTTGGCTAATCAGATTCAAGCTTCTGTATACGATTCTAAAATTAGTTCCACGGCTACATGTTAACATTATCCATGCTCAGTAGTCTGTCTTACGTTGAATTAAAGTAATTTTGATATAAATTGAATGTATAGTCCGCCAATCAGGCATTCTTACCTGAATATTGCAAACGAAAATGCACAAACTATATACGATATCCCACACGTCACAACACGGCCTTTGTCATACATATTTTGTTTACTACGAAACTCCTCGGGCGTTTAGGTTTGGCAGTGAAAAAAGAAACGCATCCAAACTATAAGCCAAGATTTTGGAGAAGGTGATTTCATTGGCTAATTGAAAGGTCGCTCTCACATGACCCCGAATGGGATGTTGTTAGATGTTTGAGAAGCGGTAGCGGATTCAGAACATCTAATATTTATTAGATTGAGTCCCGCCCTTACACCAGAACCCCTGATCTAAAGGGCATAAAATTCATAATTTTAAAAGAAACACCTTTGCTCATCATATCATGTACATAGTTCATCGGCTTAATACCCAGGAGTAGAGGAGAAGATTTTCAAAGAATTAATGCATTTTCACTATATAATCATTAGAGCCCCGCCCTAACATAAAAACCCCTGACCCAGAGGCCATGACATTCACAATTTTGGAAGAAGCACTCTTTCACATAATTACTATAAACATAGTTCATCGGCTTAATACCCAGGAGCAGAGGAGAAGATTTTTGAAGGATTAATCCATTTTCATTATATAATCATTAGAGCCCCACCCTTGCGCCAGAACCCCTGACCATGGAGCCATGAATTTTGGTAGAAGTCTCAATGCTTATCACAATCATGCCAACAGTTTGACTGCTTGATGTCCAGGATTGAAGAAGAAGATTTTTAAAGATTGCATTTATTTTGATGGTTTTAGCCATACACCTCAGGCCCCAGGGGGGCAGGGACCATGAAATTCATAATTTCTACTCCCCCTCACCCATAGATGCTATATGCCAAAATTGGTTGAAATTGGTTCAGTGGTTTCAGAGAAGAAGCTGAAAATGTTTAAATTTTAATGCACAACAGACATTGCACGACGACGGACGAAAACAGATAGCAATATGTCACCTGAGTAAACACAGGTGACCTAAAAAACAATATGCCAACATTTTAGCATTTTTTGAATTGCTTGGAAACAAGTAAATATCTATTTCATACTGATAATGCCTCCTGTTCTAATCAAGCCATCCATTAAGATTACTGTTCTAGGAGAGTGTTTATGATTCACATTGTTTGTTTGTTTTCTTGAATAGTAACCAACAACCAATTCTGAGAAGGTAGATTTTATTATCTTTTACATTAATTTGAATCTTTATAAACTTCTCAAAACCAGAGACTGGAAGTGTAACGCAGGCAAACAAAATATGATTGAATGATTTTGTTTGTTCCCTTAAATGAACACATTAGAGGTGGAAAATGCTTCCCTGGTATTCCATCATGACTTTTCATAAAGACACTCCAAACACTGTTAAGGATTTCCTCATTCAGTCCCAGTATATCATCTTATATCGACACACCAGCTATGATGAAGGATTTCCCAGTTATGGTATATCTCCTGACAGCTGCTATAGAGGCGGTGAAGGATTTGCCTGGTCTCTACGTATAGACTCACAATACTTGGTTTGTGAGGACATTCCATTGACATAGTATCCTTTCATATGGACACTCCAGACATAGTGAAAGATTTTCCAGGTATCCCACCTTCTGGGAGTCGAGACATGACAACCTAGAATTATACATCACCAATTACCTAAAACACATTATGTAATGTAAGCTTTCCAAATAAATATTACTCTATAAAGAGAGCATTATTAATACTGAAACACCTCACACTGTTTAAATGTAAGAATAATGCCATAAAAATCCCTAAAATAGATGTGTTAAACTTTCTGCCTTTCTACCACAGATTATTTACGATTCTTGGTTGGAACAAAATTTAGAATTACTTTCCACAAACTTTGTCTGAACAAATATTAAATACACTACCTTTGGTTTCTTTAGTGAAGAAGACATATACCCCATACACATGCTATCTGTAGTGTGACCCCACACTAATTCCACTGTAAAATAAAATTCAAATAACATGGTGTGCATAAATAATTTACCAGAAATCATTTAATATATCATAAATACATGTACTATGTACCAGAAGATAAATATCACGTATCAGAAGATAAATTTTCATGTATCAGAGGATAAATTATCACATATCAAAAGATAAATTATCACTTATCAAAAGATAAATTATCAAGTATCAAAAGATAAATTATTGATGAAAATTATTTTAAAGACACACTCAGGAAGATATCAGCAATATACATGTGCAAGAATCCAGTCAAGTAAAATAATTTTTAATTTAATAAAATTGAACATGTCATTAAAAGTACTGTTTAATTGCCATGGATACCTGTTTCATCTTCATTCTGTCTGAGAGCCAGCACCCCAGCTAACTTATCATCCTCTTCTTCCAAAAACTCTGACTCTATCAAGAAAAGAAATGCTAATTGGCATTGAAATAAGTTAAGCTTAAAATTGATGAGCTATATTTATTGTGAATTTTACCAGTCCATTAATACTACTGATTTTTTTCATCTACTGTTACAGAAAATAACCCAAGATGTTCCGATTTAAAGAGAAAACTTGAATAATTCTTTTTTTAAAAGGAGTGGAACAATTCTAGACTAGCACAGTCACCGACCTAAAAAGCTATTTTTAAAGCAGTTGGACAGTCCCAGACTAGCATAGTAACTGACCTAAGAAGTTATTTTTAAAGCAGTTGGACAGTCCCAGACTAGCATAGACAGTCCCAGACTAGCATAGTCACTGACCTAAGAAGTTATTTTTAAAGCAGTTGGACAGTCCCAGACTAGCATAGTCACTGACCTAAGAAGTTATTTTCAAAGCAGTTGGACAGTCCCAGACTAGCATAGACAGTCTCAGACTAGCATAGTCACTGACCTAAGAAGTTATTTTTAAAGCAGTTGGACAGTCCCAAACTAGCATAGTCACTGACCTAAGAAGTTATTTTTAAAGCAGTTGGACAGTCCCAGACTAGCATAGTCACTGACCTAAGAAGTTATTTTTAAAACAGTTGGACAGTCCCAGACTAGCATAGACAGTCCCAGACTAGCATAGTCACTGACCTAAGAAGTTATTTTTAAAGCAGTTGGACAGTCCCAAACTAGCATAGTCACTGACCTAAGAAGTTATTTTTAAAGCAGTTGGACAGTCCCAGACTAGCATTATCTTCCTGTTGTATAGACAAGGCACACTCTCTGGCCAGTAATGTCTTCATGATGTGTTCACCACTTTCTGTTGGAAAATTACATCAGATTTACAACTAAAACATGAATAAATGATCAACTGAGGAAAGCAACTCAAATTTAAAATTATATAATTTGAAATTAAAATGATGGTTGATTGATATGCAATTTTTTTTTACTTTCTCAGGGGTGTCTTTTTCTAATTTTTTATGTTCATTTTACAGCTACAGAAATTAAAACAAGGTAGACATTGTTGCAGCCTAATATGCAGAAATGCCTGAAGCAGATTAAGTAAGTAATTATGTTCATTAAAACATCAAGCACAATACACTATTGACCTAAGTGACACAACATAAGTTCTGCAAATTGATGAAACTTGCTGAATAATCTTACTTTCATGTGTCACATGTAAAATATTTTATTCACATTCTATTGAAACTCAAAATTTTCTGCAAAATAACAAATATGCTTTTAACTAATAATGTTCGGATTGCACAACTGCATTTCAAAGACTCTATTCCTTTTTGTTAAATCTGAATTCTTTTGAAGATTTTGCTATTTTAAGAATCTGTGCTTAAAAAGAAAAAAAAATAAATATGCAGGCCAAGTATTTCCCTTACCAAAAACATGTTAAAGCAAAGTCATAGGAAAATGATGCTTTTGGTTATATGTGAATGCTATTTTGGAACTTGACAATAAGTATACACAGTTGTGGGGGGATGGGGGATTAGTTTAATGTATACAAATCCCTAATTATACTTATTTGCAGTTCACTGTGTAGAAGCGGACTAGGGTAAAGTGCGTTACCCTAGTCCAAGATGGCAACAGGCAAATATGCTTCGATTATTTTGCACATAGTTTACGCATTATACAGGCTTACATTATGTAATGGATGGTTTTATTTTAATAATTTTAAACAGAAGTATGTAGCTATATATTGCAAAAAATCTGCATGGTATGTGCAGGTTAAAGCCAAATTACGGGTAGAAAATTCGAACAAGATTAGGGTTACGCAAATTTATGACTAGGGTAAAGATTTTCTGACCTATTTGAGTGATTAGGGTAAAGCATGTGTAAAATGTCATTTTGCTTGTTTCAGGGTTTAGAAAATGCTATTTCAGCAGACTGAAAACGCACTCTGCCAGTAAATTCATAATTCATTGCACCAAAAACTATGTAATTTAAAAATTCTCAGTGTGCTGACAATTTCTGGAAGAGCACAGTGGCCTAATTTTGTTCTAATCAGTTTAGGTTTCTGCTTATAAAACAAATTCTTGAAAATTTTGTTGATTTAGATATGGCAAAAAACTTTTCAAATATCTACAGATCAATCAAGTATCATCAATAACATGAAAAAAAAGAATGAACAGAAATCATACACAAAATCCAGTTTAAACAATACAGATTATGAGCAGAGCAAACATGGACTGAAAATGAAAGCAGAGGAGGGACAAGGTGCCCTGTCCACCGGTAAAACTTGCTGTGTTCTCTTTGTCATGATCAGGTACATGTAAATGAAAAAAATGACCGAACAATTCATATGAAAAAAGTCAGTAAACATGGATTGTGTTAATTTTGTAAACAAGGTCATTGTATCAAACATGGAATTTATGTTATGTTGACTTTAACCGAGATGGTTGATATCTTGTGTCATCAACTTATGCATGTGTATACTCTCTCTCTCTCTCTCTCTCTCTCTCTCTCTCTCTCTCTCTCTCTCTCTTACTTTTTATATTTAGATTTGCATATTATACAGAAAATGTTATTTTACTAGCACTTTACGCCTTATCCTAGATTAAGAAAAATGGGCAAAATAAAGGAGATGGGTGAACAAGGCGTGCAGAATGCCTATAGCTTTAGATATGTAAAATTCATATTCAATTTGTGAATTAAGTATTTAGAGTAAAGTTCTCTTTATTGCAATTTATAAAATTATGATAAACAAAACTTTTCTGTGGAAAATTTTCCCGGCAAAAAATAATTCTGTTATTAAAAAAAATAATGTGGTATTCGCGCGGTTCGAACCCTAGCAATAAAAATCCTGAGTATCATATTCCTTTGAGACTAACGCGATAACCACTACGCTACACAACTCCTGATGAATAGTGGCATTTACATCATGTTTGTGATATGAACCTTGATTAAATGGACTTTAAGTATTTCTCGGAAAATGCGAATGTTGTGTCATAAAAGTGTATTTTTAAGCTATAGTGGGTCTTGGCTCCATGTTTTTGTTAACCAAAAAAAAAAAGTTTTTACGCAAAAAAACCAAAAAAAAATCTTTTTACGCAAACTTGAGGATAAACTTTCAAGAAAAAATATTGATTTTGCAAATTGTGGAGAAAAGTTTGTTATAATTGAGATTTAATTTTTCATCTTCATGTTTGTCACACTAAAGGCACTTTGCTTGCCTTGTTCGCCCATCTTCTTTGCTGTTCCTATTGAGAAAACTTTGGTAAAGCATTTGTCAAGAGTAAGATAATGCAGATTAACCTGGGCTTAGACTCAAAAAAATTGTTAGTTTTTTCATAAAAATTGCACTTAAGTACTTAAAATATTCTTAACTCAGTAAAAAATGGTATTCAAGCATTCAATGAATTATTCTTAGAAAATCAGAACACTTAAATTCAATCTTTCAGCAACGCATGGAAAGTCTTTCCGAACAAAAGGTGCGCTCTTTTGTGATGGAGGTGTTTAGTTTGACTACTACATGTATATTACATCATATTTGTCAAAATAATTTTGTAAATAGATACTGATAGGGCTATGTCCTCATCATTGCACATTTATGTTTCGTTTTGTTTACAGATTTATGAAATTTATCAATGTTTGATATTTTTACAATTAACATTATCATATACTTTAAAACAAAATCCGACACTTGTTTCCATGTTTGCGATCTAGTGTAAAAAAGTCTCTTGCTGTGACCTCCAGTATAACAATTAGATTATTATATTGATGATGTTTTGTCAATAAACATTCAAACACTGATGTGTTATGTCCCATTAAACCCAATAAAAGACACCACATATTCTGACACGTTGTATTTTTGGATGTTTTACTAAAAAAAGACATTGATGGTAAACTAAAACCAAAGCTTAAAAGTTCATGATAAACGTGATGACTCCAACTTTTTTCATCATCTTCCCTTATTTATTTAGCAATATATCATTTTTTTTTCATATCTAAAACGATGCAGACTGCTGACGCATAAGTTGGTGACACAATTATAGTATCAACTATTTCTTTTAGAAGCCAACATTTCGCAAATTCTGTGGTCAATGCAATGATCTTGTTAGCAAATATATTATGTAGTTAGCTCGAATGTTGACTGATGTCTTTGATATAAATTGTGAGTTCATTGTTTTCCTAATGAATTGTGAACACATTTTCCGTTTATTCAATTAAAACGAAGGATACATGGCGGAGGTAACCAATCGAAAGATGATGCCTACTCCCCATTACACCTGATCTCACCTCTGATGTTTTCCGTGGTCCTTGTTTGCTTATTTTACAATTTGTATTGTAATTTGTATTGTAAAATGTAGGGAGATAACGAACAGTATTCAAGCGCAAAAGTCCATTAAACAATACAAAATAGGAGCAGAGCAAACACGGACCTCCAAAACATCAGAGGTAGGATCAGGTGCCATGGAGGAGTGAGCATCCCCTGCCGACCGATCACATCCGCCATCTGCTCCTTGTCATGATCGGGAAATAACGGAAAAATCCGCCGACAATTCAGTGTGTAAATAATGGCCTAACAATTAGAATGAAAAACGTCAGTCAGCATTTGACTCAATGATAAATTTTATTTGCTGACAAGGTCATTGTATCGACCATAAAACTTATGAAATGATGACTTTAAACCAGACTGCTGATATTCTTGTTTCATCAACTTGTTTGTCAATAATTTACCTTGTTTTAGAAATGTACATACGTAGAGCATGCTCTCGCGTATCGAATCAACTAAGAGATATAAACCCTGTATGCAGGTGATGAAGGTATATTGCTGCATAAGTAAGGGAAGTTGACGATTGAAAAGTTAAAGTTAAATTGTTTAATTGGACTTTGAGCATGAATACTGTTTGTCATTTTCGTATTTCAGTTGATAAAAGTTTATTTCGATTACCCGCAATGCGGATTTAACTCGGTCAACATTCCGTTACTGTCGAGTACCGACAAATGAAAATTAGACAGAGGTTGAGAGTCATTTTCGATAATTTCGCCCAAAGTGGGGATTAAAGAATGCAGCGTAGATTTAGATTCATACAGGAAACAATACTTAAAGTTAAATCAAATTAATTAATTACATCATTTATACATGTATATTTATTTAACAATAAAATAATACATGTACATGAAACGGAAAATATATGTTAATAATAAGAGTAATATTTTGGAAAAATTGTGGTTATGAAAAAAATACCAACCAGTATGATATCTTTGTGGAAACAACAGTTCTTGAACATGTTCGAGAAAACCTTTTCCAACTATATTAATTGTATAAAACAGTTAAAAAATCAAAGTCGTGCACTATCAGGTTGTAGAATAAATAACTTTACCCTAGCCTCAAAAAAACTTTACCCTAATCATAAATAAATAGTTCAGAAACTTTACCCTAATCTGCAGCAAAACTTTGATGTGCATTTTCTTTTTAATTACGCTAAAGTTGAATATAATCTCGGCGCGAGCATGTAAAACATAAGCTGCCCGACAGATTGGTGCAAAATAAAGTAAAACTTTAAGCTAGATTTCACCAATATTTGTACAAGAAAATTTTAAGCGTTTTTGCCTATCGCCATCTTGGACTAGGGTAACGCACTTTACCCTTGTCCGTTTCTACACAGTGCAGTTGCAATATAAAACAATATCTTTATTTGTTTAACATAATTTTAGTACGTCTAATTAACTGTTCCAAGCACTTTTTCATTGTTTTCCAGATAATCAGGTGACCTATATCTAGTTTTACTGTCGTCCTACCTGTCGTCACCCCTGGTTTTCCTGGTCTCTGATTGTAGGCCCAACATCCAGCACCATACGTCGCTGCCTGAAAGTTATGAGTAAAATGCATGCATCAAAAGGTAAAATGACTTATTTTTCACCATCTAGAGACTACATGTGGATATTCAATTTTGTAATTACAGTCAAACCTCTTTATTTCAAACTCAATGGGATCAAGTCAAAACATCATGATATCCGAGGATTTGAGATATCCAGGGTAAGATACCATACTTAAAGAATCAGCGGTTGGAACTTCCAAACTATTTCAACTTATCCATGGTATTCGAGATTTCAGTGTTTGAAATACCAAAATTCAACTGTATCCCTCATTTTTATACATTCACTCACATTACTCATTCATTAAGGTAGAACACATCAGACAGGGTTCATATACTCCTCTTGAGTACTTACCCCAGTAACAAAAATTCTTGAGTCTTAAAATAAGAGTTTTTCACCTTAAAAGTATTTAAGCGAAAGATTAATCATAGATAACTTTTTTATCTAAATATTTTAATAATTTCCTCAATAGAATGTACAGAGAGAGCCCGGGGTTTGCCTTAAATTTCCGTCATTTGTTTTTCCTACCTTTCAATAACAACATACATGTATATGGTTGTAAGTGATGTATAAACTACAATCAATTCTCTTTAATCATATGTTGTAACAATGTTTATAACCAAAAACTCAGACAAATCTGTATATATGAATTAAAATAAGTATGGGTATTGGAATTTGTAATAAAAAGGTTAACTGAATATCTGGAAATGCTTGCCCTAGGTCTTTGCACAGATGTGGACCTCCCAACCTCTGTCCTTTTACTGTGCACAGAACTCTGGTGTGCATTTTTCCCAATATTTAGCCAATTACATGTATTAATATTACTTACTCATAACAACACATCAAAAGAATTTATCTTTTTGGAATACAATTGTTATTTATTGATAATGTACATACAGGGCCAAGTCTTCCTGGTTGTTTCAAAGAAATTCCACCACTGGACACCGCTGATGCTATGTTACCACTGGTATCCATGACGATAGCCCCCAGCGTGTCCTGTATCTTCTCTTCTTCCTGTACATCACAACTTTCTCCTGTTTTGTCATTTTTCTAGACAAATACAAGAATGATAGTTGTCTATCACCAAAAAATACGTTGATTAATCGATTGTATGTTGTTTTATGTCCCATTCAAGAATCTTTCACACATAAAGAGTTATCGAAATATGCCTATGAAGGACGTCAAATTTAGGCCTATACTTAGCACTCAGGGACATGAGGTTTGACATAGTGAGGCAAATGAGAATTAAACCAGATGAAAGCGAAGAATGCCCTACCACTAGACTACAGCGAAGGATCAAGGTCCAGTTTTCTCTTGTGTGATTTTTTTTATTTACCTGTTGTGTTAGTCTCCTTTTCTTGCTGGTTTCTCTCTCATTTACAATGTCCAGTTTCCTTTTGTGATTCTGGTAAGTTTTCCGAGCTTCATCTAAAGTAATAATAAAACAATGTCTGAATATTCTATACCTGGTCATTACTGGAGATACCTGCTTTAAGAAAGAGATTGGGACAGAGTGTCCAATACTCAATTATCAAATATTGTCATTTTATTGAAATGTCTCTTCCTATGAGTCAATCTTCATTACAAACTTCATTGAATTTATTGACTATTTTTCTCTGTTGGGCATATATTTGTGTCATTCGTGTATATGTATATTAAGTGTGTATGTTTAGCACAATTTTAGTATAAATACAAATATAACAGGAAAATAGGCTCAACTAGTGGTGCATGGTTAAGCTATGGTTACCTGTTATTAAGCATCCGGTTTCCAAAATTTTTATCCCATTTTCTCCAGCCCACTGTTTAGCTCCTTTACCTAAAATGACACTAAACAAGATACTTTACTTTTAATACATGAGTATACTGCACAAGAAAATAATTGATTTACTCCTCGACAATAACACTAAACAAGAGAGTTTAATACTTTTGAAGTAAAGAATCTGGGGGGATAAGACGAGCCATGTGCCCATGCCCATTTTTCGGCTATGCAAGAACATTTATTGGAAAAAATCTCTCAATTGTTCGAATTTACTTAAGCATTTGAATGTTTACCGTAGTTTTCAAAATGATATTTATATTCTAAACAAGCTAAACAGTTGACTTTCATTTACTGTCACAAATGTCTAACATGGGTAAGGACTTCTATTAATTAATCTGCATATTGAGTGTTTACACTTATTGTGGAGATATTATAAAAATGTTAACATCGTATATAATGATAATGGTGATCTAGAAGCGCTTTTATATAAAATAAATAAAACGGGAATAAAAGTATTCAAATATCTATTATAATTTTTATCCGGCATTTTAAATAATTTACTGTAAATAAGTTCATTACTACATGTATATATTTTATTTCCAGTGAAAAATATGTTATTCCTATAGACATTTTTTTATAAAGTAAAACAAAATTAAAACCAAAAAAATCAACAACAAAAAAAAAAAAAATCAGAGCATGACTCGAACACTTTCCTCAATAAACGTCCCTTTAAACAGCTCATCGCTAACCACTAGACCACGGAGTCACACTAACATTTCCATTTAAATAGCATACCGTTCTCTATATTTAGCAAGCGTTTTTGGACTTAGAATTTTTTAAGACCACGGTGAAAATTTAAGTAAGTTAACTTAATTTTTTATGTAGAGTGGGTCTTCATACCAAATTTTTGCAAATGTAAAAAGCAACATCTTTCCATTGCCTTTCATTAATCGTTCTCAAAAAAATGGTACGATGACCCACTCTATTTAAAAAATGTAGTTATATCATCCAATTTATGTCAGTTTCTTTGAAAATTGAGCGTGATGCTATTTTGTTGTGTTAATCAGAATCATTTTCGCTGTTACAGTATTCAGGTTTTGTCAAATTTATATGCAAATGGTAATAAGCATTACATTAATTCAACAAAAAGTGAAATTTTTGTAAAATGAATTTATTGATTTTTTATCGATCGTTATGTAGGCATATGGCTCGGCTTATCCCCCCAGTTTCTTTGCTTGTTGTTGTCTTCTATTGATTATTTAAAGTATTGAAACTAAATAATTTGAATATTTAAATTAAATAACATCAAGTCACCATTCCTATCAATTCTGTAGGTTTTGTTAACATGTAATTAATTGTTACCTGGGATGCAGTCTCCCCAGGGACAACTTGTCCCCTAACTGTCTGGATACCAGTGTGGCCGATACCTCTACTGGGTTCTTTACACCTATAGCACAAAAAGTCTTTCAAACATACAGCTTCTAAAATCATAAAAAAGAGTTTCTCTGAAAACTTTTTCCACACATTTCCTTTTACCTAAATTGATGGATGTCTTACCGGAAATGGCCCCAACTGCTCCAAACACCAGCTTCCTTCCCTCCATAATAGAGGCATCACATTCCACAGAGCCATTGATGTTTAGATTGGATCCGACGCCTGCATTAGTCAGCACAGAATCCTAAAAATATTGACGAAAAATTCTTGTAAATACATATGTACTACAGTTTAACTTCGGTATCTTGAACACCATCTTCGATACCATGGATATGTCAAAATTATTAGGAAGTCCCAACAACTTATTCTTTAAAGTATTTAACAATGGATAACGGACTTAAAACATCCCAGTTAGCACTGGACAAAATGGGCTTATTGCTTTGAGAATAAAAAAAAAAGATGGCAGTAAGTATATATATTATACAGGTATTTGCTAGGTTTGTCCTTGAGGGCAAAGCAAACATTTCCAAGAATAAACTCAATCAAGAAAACAGTGATCAAATATACCCTCCCCCGAATGAAGCGAATCAATTTATATGTCATCATTTTTTTAATTAATAATTTTTTTATTCCTTCTGGAATTTTCTTATTCCTAACAACTTTTTTAATTTGTATAAATACCTTTAGTTTTAATCAATTTTGAAAATTAAGCATTGATGTTGAAAATTTCTGCAGAAAAAAAATTCCCACCTACCTACTGACCCTATTTTTTTTTATCCTGAATTGGGAGAGGGCAAACAAACATTATTTTAAAGATGACCTTAAAATCCCGATTAAGATTGACAACTGGGGTCATGATAGCGCAAAATCTTCATGAAAACCCGAAAGAGTATTTATAATGTTATTCAGGTAGAGTTTATTTCTTGATATGTTTAGAATTGTTCTAGATTCTTAATAAGAATGTATAAATTATTCGTCTGTTGTATCAGAAAAAAAAAAAAATTTAAAGATGACCTTAATGAAAATATTTTTCCATCTTGAAATATGTAAAGCTAAAATATTCCCGAACAATCTCTATATGAACATTCTGATGAGAAAATTCTAAAACACATTAACATTACCAAAAAAAAAACAGTTCCTGTATTACATTGTTGTGTCGCCTGCAGAGCAAAGCGGCAATTAGGGATGACTTTACCCGGCATCTGTCGGTCTGTCCGTCCATCTGTCTGTCCGTCTGTCACACCTTATATCTCAAGAACTGTAAGAGATCTAGATTTGATTTTTTGCACACATATTGCTTGGCACAATGGCTTTTATATTTCGGTATTCCAATATAGATGGCGTACACTGACAATTGCGGTAAAGACAAACTGAAGTCCCCTTTGAAGGATTGTTTGATGTCAAGTATTAATTAATTAATTGATAAATAATAATTTATATTTACTAACATCCATTTAAGTGTTGGGGATTTGTATTTCTATTTGATTGTCAGATTCTAACGCAGTCTTAGTATCCTTAGATTTTTTTTTACTAAATGCTAGAAGCGAATAAATAGCTGGCCACTCTTAGATTTAGTTACATCTTTAATGAAGCTAAAAGCAGGCGACACATGCTTTCCTTGGAACACTCTAGTTTTACTTATTTTGTCCATGCCTCTAAACATTTAACAACTTCTGTCACACACTCTACAGCACCCCTCCCTTTCTCCAGCACCTGATAAATAAAAACCAAGTATTAATGTGAAACAATGGGATCATGGGCCATAGAAGACCACAATGCAATGCACGTCTGAACTTACATACTCACAACATATACTTTTAAATAACATTTGTTTTCATGGTATCAATTTTAAGTGATCTGAGGAATAAATATTGGTTTGAGGTGATTTTACCTCCTGGTTGGAGAAGTGTTATTTGTTATGTATATGAAATTTTACAGTTCATCGTGGACGTGAACTCACTGGTTTCTTCGTAATAATTAAACTCCTACGAATATAAGTGATTTCACAGTAAAATTTCCAAGCCACCTTGATGTCACATCCCAATGTCACATCAGAATCACTCCCTTATTCAATTTCTACCGGATAAAACACGAATTATGTACTAACTATAAATAAGAGGCCTGTTGGTCACAATGCCCACCTGGATCATAGATGTATATGACATGTCGCACCCCTAACGTGTTTTCAGCTTTATATAACATGCCTAACAAAACAAATAAAACCTGCTACATACTGAAGGTCCCTTTATAAACAAGCATATTGTTGAGAGACCTTTTGGTAATTCAACTGTCAAATCTCTTTTTGCTCTCTGAAAGCCTTAAAAAGTCGCTTTCTGTGCAGGACTGTTAAGGCGTACTACGAAGAAATCAACGGAATATAAACGTGCATAATTACATACTCTTTTAAACTGAATTTATTTTTGAAAAGCTACTATATTATCTCATGACTATAATTTTAATTGAAATAACATTGTATACCCCACTCTGTACAGAATTTGGTTTGATCATGTTATTTGACAGTCACGTGATAAATGCATGTAATGTATACTGTATGTAGGTCAGAACCAAATTTCAATATCGCAAGGGCATACCCTAGTTAGAATTAAGAATTTCAGTAATAAATTGTATCTATTTAACTTGTAGTTTATGAAAAGTGCTGCTGCATTAATTATAGATTTCGGATTTTATTAGTTTAAATTTCAAGTTATTTGGCTCCAGTCGAAATATGTGTTACCTTTACCAAGTATTTTATTTATTTATTATGTAATGCTCTCGATTTCAGGAAAGAAGCAGCACTTTTCAAGTTAAGGAATGTTTCCGTTATGCATATTCAAAAAATGATTAAGATCTATTAATTGTATACCCTTGCGAATTAATTAGGCACCTCGGCGTGAAACATGCACATCCTGTACACAAAAGCACGGTAGAACATTCTTTCTATAGTTTTTAATTATGGCACTAAACAAAGGTTTTAGATTTGTATTAATGGTCTACCTAAGATTTGCAAATAAAATTCTGTTTAATAATAAAATGCGTTTTTCACTGTGCTGTGGAAAAATTACTTGATCCGCCTCTCAATGCACTTCAAATGCGTCAAATTTTACCATGATGACGTCATGTCGACAAATACATTGCGATCAGTGACTTGCTTATATCTTGCTGTGTGGGATTTAACTACCGCCAAAAAAATTAATGCAGTGGTAAGTTTTGATATAGTTCATCATTCTTAAGCAATTTAAAACTGCAAATGATTTCATTTTCTGTTATTGTGAGGAATTGCTATATTTGTGTGATGTCACAGTATAAATTAGGCCCCGCCCCTATTTATGCAGCCTTAACATAGCTGCGTGTCCATATTAAAGGTTATCATAGTGTAATTGCTGCATAAAACATTAAAAGAAAAAAGAGGCTAAAGGACCACAATGCTCACCTGAGTTACTACGATCCTGCCTGTGCTTTATCAGCAGAGTTGTTTAAACAATAAAACTTTGATCACATAACGTGGTCTCGCCCGACCCCAAAAGTCATGATTTGAATAAAGCTGAATCTAGACACTACCTGAAGATCTTTTTATCAGAATATGACTAATCATCACTTTGCCACTCCTGAGAAAATTTTAAAGATATTTCTTATACATTTGTATCTATTAACTGCCATCGTGGTCCTAACCAACCGGCATCAGTCAAGATTTGAACAAATTTGAATTTACATTACCTGAGGATGTTTCCATATAAATATGACTAATCAGGCTTTGTTGTTCTTGAGATGAATTTTTTAAAAGAATTTTTTAAGGTATTCCTATTTAAAACTCTGATTGCCCATTGTGACCCCACCTTACCCCAGGTCTCATGATTAGAACCAATCTAAATCTACACTATGTCAGGAGGCTTTCATTTTTTCTGGTTCAGTGGTTCTTGAGAAAATTTTTTGAAATGACCCCACCCAATTTTTACTATTTTTCTTTATCTCCCCTTAAAAGAGGGCGTGGCCCTTCATTTAAACAAAATTGAACCCCCTCTACCCAAGAATAATCTGTGCCAGGCTTAGTTGAAATTGGCCCAGTTCTGGAGAGGAAGGGGAACTTGTAAAAAGTTTATGACAACAACAAGAACAACGACAATGACAGATAACATACAATTTTTTATCAGAAAACTCACTAAAGCCTTCGGCTCAGGTGAACTAAAAATCAAACATCAGGAATATAATCAATCAAGAACACACAATTTGATAGTCACTGAAACAGAAGTACGAATTCTTCTGAGAAAATGAATAACATAAGTATGTACATTATAATTATAAAAAAGTATTTACCTTTAAGCATGCGGTTTTTCAGAGTTTCACATAAGCATCTTCTTTTTGTGTTGATTGGTATCCTCCACCTGGAAGAAATAAATAAAAACATGATAAAGAATTTTTATTTATGGCCATTTTTATCCCCTCACCCAATCTGAAAAAAAATGAACACCATAATTACAAATATTGTCTCTAATTTTTCTGTTTGTCTGATCATAAGGAGCAAGGCAGGTATGACCGATCAAAACAGGATGCTTACTCCTCCATGGCACCAGATTCCACCTCAAATATTTTTAGAGGACTGTCCATCTTTGCTCTGCTCCTGGTTTGTATTGATTCAATAGACTTTTGAGCTTCATATTACTGTTCGTTATTTTCATATTTCAATCATATATTCTAATTTCTTTAATGTGTTAAGAGAAAAAATACAAGATCTTGCCAATTTCTCTACTCATGCAGCTTATAAGTTATTTTTTATAAGTATATATTTCTCTAAATTTACATAATAGAGCTAGCCTGTTACTTTTCTAAAAATTTTAAATTAAAAAATGTGATACTAAACTACTAAATTCAAATCAATGTTAAAACACTTCAGCATTTTGAATATCATGCCAAGATATTTTAATTCCTTCTAAACCAGGAAGTTTAAACACCTAACAGGTAAATAATGCAGGCAATCGTAACTACTCTGCCAATTTCCGAGAGAGAAATATTTATCGTTCACGGAAATGGCCGAGTAGTTATGAATGATAATGCAGGTAGTGTGTCACATGATCAGAGTACAGAAATAGAACTTGAGTATCAACAGAAGGACGTCCACCATTACTAAACTGACAAGTAAAATATACATGGAGAAACTAATCTGAAAAGAGTTAAGTTTAGTAGGTTTTAACCATTGGGAACAAAATTCCTCTATTTCTTAGGTCCTCCTGGATGCAAGATGGATGTCTTTATTTATCTTTTTATGTAAATATCCTAGTAAGAATGTTAAATTTTCATTTTCAGATCAATATCGAGCTTTAAATTTAATCATGGACCCACGTACCAGTGCCCAGGACGTGATGCGATGTGACCTGTGTGAGACTGTTGTGGTACAGATGCACTGTGATACATGTCTTGTCAACCTGTGTAAGGCCTGTGTGGGAGAACACATCTCAACCGATGAATCCAAGGACCACAAAGTTGTCAAATTTCAGGCAAGGAAATCTACCCCTCTTTACCCTGGATGCAAAACTCATAACAAAGAACAATGTGAAATGTACTGTAATCAATGTGACATTCCTGTGTGCATCACCTGTATTGCATCTGATCGACACCTAGGTCATAAATTTTTTGAAAATTCTACAAATTTTAAATGAAAGAAGAAACAAAATTTTGAAAGATATAACTGAATTAAATGAAACAATTTACCCAACCTACCAGGACATTGCCTCTGATGTACAAAACAGAATGAGTCAGTTAGAAAAGGAATATGGAGACCTCTCGACAGCCATAACAAAACATGGAGAGGACTGGCACAGAGAAATTGACAAACTTGTCAAGAAACTTAAAGCCGAAGTTTATGAGATAAAAAACACACAGTTACAGACTCTACAGAAACATCTGGATGAAATAAATAAGAAAATGTCTGACATCAAGGATGAAATCAATTCAGTTGAAATGGCTATAGACACTAATGACTTGTCAATACTGTTGAGTATAACATCCAATGAAGATATATACAGAAATCTCCCACACAAAATTATGCCATCTTTACCCAAATTCATGCCGGGAAAAATCCAAGGAGAAAAGTTCAGTAAACTGTTTGGAGCCTTATCATCAAGTTCTTTAACATCAGACAAACATGGCTACAGCATAAAGACAACACAGAAATCACCAGAAGCTGGATCCTCTCCTCCAGTCAAACAACTGCTTGATGAACCAGAGACTGTTACCAATATAGAAACTGTGTTTAATGGATACCTTTACAGTGTGGCCTGTCTGAGTGATGAAGAAATCTGGACAAGTGGAAGTGACAGCACCATGAAACTCTTTAACATCAATCAGGGATCACTACTCAAGTCAATCACAACCAAGTCAGGGAAATTTCCAACTAACATAGCAGTGACCAAAAGTGGCGATCTAGTGTATACTGATTACAATGATGGAACTGTGAACATTGTGAAGCATGAGAAGATAGAGGAAGTAATCAGATTACATCGACTACAGAACTGGAAACCTCGCGGTGTCTGTAGTACCTCCTCTGGTGACCTCCTGGTTATCATGTGCAGTAAATATGACAATCAAACAAAAGTTGTCTATTACTCTGGCTCCACAGAGAAACAAAGCATTCAGTTTAATGATAAAGGTAAACTTTTCTACTCATCTGATGGTTATTACAGATACATAACTGAAAACAGGAACCTGGATATCTGTATGTCTGATGAGAAAGCTAGAGCAGTAGTGGTGGTCAAACAGACTGGGAAACTGAGATTCAGGTACACTGGACATACTTCTGCTCCAAATAGCCTTCCATTTGATCCACGAGGAATCACCACAGACAGTCAGAGTCACATCCTTACAGCTGATTGTGACAATGACTGTGTCCACATCATAGACCAGGATGGACAGTTCCTCCGTTACATAGACTGCGGACTGAAAAATCCGGAAGGACTGTGTACAGATACAAATGACAATCTGTTTGTTGCTCAATATAGAAACAGACAAGTGAAGAAAATCAAATATTTGCTGTGAAATTATCCATCACTATGGTGTATGCTTTATATCATTAATTAATTATATAATTAAAAGAAATTTTTATTTCTTACTAATATACAAGTATGCTGCTCGATCTATGGAGATTCATATGTTTTTTAAACCATATAATTCATAATCAACATATATCTAAAGGGAATTGTAATCCGTATATAAATATATATGGGAAGTAAAATGTTGCATGTATGAAATGTTTTAAATACTGTCAGAAATAAAACAAAACTTATAATAATTTCATTTAAGTGAGAACTATACAAAAGTTTACTTTCATTAAATCTCATTGACGTTAGTGAATTAAGTACAGATGAGTAAGTAAAATGCCTGCTGGATCTTGATGCTCACCTGTCAGTGAGTTTTGTGAGGATTTCTCATACTCCCTGAGAGGCAAATTTCTCTCACATGTAGTCATTATTTTAATGCAGAAGTGTTATATTATCCTTGAAATTCCAGAGGCCTTGTGGCTTGAGTCTCTTGATGAATATCTCTATCAGCCTGAATGGACAGGCACCACCCCCAGATATATAAACCTATTACACTGAACGTATAATATACGGTGACAATACAAAAATTATGATCAGAAAAGCTCACTTGAGACTTCAGCTTAGGTGAGATAATAATGTATTTCAATTTATATAATTAAATAACTTATCCCACATGATCTATTATAGCCATATAAAATAATGTCTGCTAGTAAGATATTCCGTACGAAATTTTGAGGCAGAATAGGCACGGCTTGGGCACGGAACCCGTACAGGTTTTTAAAAGCCGTATGGGTTCTGCATGTCCAAGACATGGACACGGATTCTGAGTCTGAGAGTGAGGAATCCTCGCTCTCAGAAACCCGTGTGGAGACACGAAATCCATGTTTTGCTTCATAATATTTAATCAAATCTCACGGCTTTTTACTGAACATGCTCAATCATAACTTCCTTTATTTGAATATTAAATAGGAGGGATTCAAGGTCATGAGCTAAGAATGTGTCTTTTTTACTCTAGTTAAAGGATATTTGTAGTAGAGGTACTTTTATTAAAATAATAAAAGTTGAAATGATTTTAAATATTAAATATAAATTAAATAAATTAAATAAACTATTAAATATGTTATAAATGCATAAATGATAAGTTTTCTATTAAAGTTTCATTCTGTTCATTCTGTACTAACATGGGTATTTAGTGACATAGATATACACCCCTTTGGATCCACACCTGTACATATACTTTTACATGACCACACGCATATCTATTGGTCAGATTTTGAAATGGTTAGATTTCATTGGTTGAAAGTTTAGTCTTTGTGGGGTACTGAGTTTTATTCAGAATTAGCTCAAGATTTAGAATGGAGAAGACATAGTTATATTGCTGCTAACTTACTTTATTCAAAGACCTAAGACAGTTCCTGAAAATGTAAGTTTTTATCTTTTTATGCCTTAAGATATGTTTTCCATAATTTATGTGAAATAGGTGGAAAACATAATATTTCACTTTTAAATGTTAACATATTGAATTATCTGTCTGTATAATCAGATGTAGATAAATCTGATGGAGTTTTCTCATTAATTAATTTGTATATATACCTAGAAATATTTTGATGTGAATATTTTGATAGTCAAACTAATTTGAATATCTATTGATTATGAGAAAGGTATTTGTAAAGAACAAATCCTGATTATTTTATTTATTGTACATAGGTAGCACCATAAGTAAAGAATTAAATTATTGCTTTGGAGAAAGTTCAGTTCCATAAATTGGTATGTCTATCTGTATATATATTTTTTATGATTTGTACAGAAAGATAAAAGAAAGATAACTCTTCACAAGACTGTTAAGAGTAATTATATTGTAAGAGTTAACTCCCTTATATAGAACATATCGAGTTAAATTGATAAATATGATAAATAATTGTTAAAGGGAAGACAGATAATTTGTTATATTTTTATGATCAGAATATTAGATAATTGATATATTGTTTGTACATATTTTTATGACGCAATTTGTATATTGCAGGACATATCCATTTTCCATTATTCCATATATTCCATTAGTCCATTTTCCATTATCCATTTATCATCAACTAGACATGTCACCATAATAAAATGTAAAATTTAAAAAGCTACAAGTGTGTTTTCCATCATTGCCGGGAATACCCGCTACAAAATGGCGCCCAACGTAAAATCCATTCCATAGATGAGCAACTAGACTGGTAGGCCTAATTCCGGAAATATCCGATCAACCAAGCGCTTTTGTGACACTGATCAGTGACTGTGAGTAATTCATTCGAATTTTCTCTATTGACATTCACGTGGAGGCCACAGACCACAACAACGCTGGATTAAAGTAAATTTATTTGATTAACATTATATTTAGTGGTTGTTTACTTATTTATTCAACAAGATACTATATTAAGTGTAGCGATTATTTACTTTTGATACAATATTGGCTGGCCAGTTGAAGAGTTTAGAGTTTGAAAACACGTGTTGTTAAAAACAAAGACAGAGATTTTTCGGCCGTTTCACATTGTTTATTTTTTCCCATATTATTATTCATTCATTATTGTA